GCACACCAAAAATCTTGAAGGCCGACGCCACCACCACATAGTTCATCGCATATCTCGCAAAAGTGATCAGGCCCAATGTTACCTCCGATCTGTAAAACGAATGCAAAGAGGAACATTGATTAAGCGTGGAGCATTGTGGAGAAATAAAATTCAAAAAGAAGACAAACCCAATGATGATCGAATGTTTCCTTGCGGCATTCCTTAGGATTCACTTTGCATAGCAGTTTGGATGAGATTGATCTCAAACAATTGATCTGAACACACACGGAATAAAAATAAGTCAAATTAATAAGAAAAAAAAAATGCATATTTAGGAAATACAGAAAACAAATTATTAGAAACAGATTAAAAATGATTTCATTTCTCTGCAATTTGCATATAATACTGTTTAAAACTGGGTCATAACTTTTTCTTTGCGAAATCTGCAAGATATCACTGGCAAAGTGTGAACAAATAGTTAATTTTGAAAAATGCATCTAAATTGTTAGATAATGGCACAATAAATAAAAAAGTACAATGCTAACTAATTTTTAAAGTTTACTTTTTGCTTGCATTCTCTGCTAATTTATATCGAAGCTAATATTCACTTGGTCTTGTAACTTGTGGTTCAGAAAACTTAACAAAACTAATTATAAATATCCTGCAGGCATAACATTTTTTCAATTAAAAAATCTTGACGACAAGAAGCTTTTAATCAACTTCTATAAGTGCGAATGTCATGTTATTAGAAATTTTAAAGTTATTAAAACTGTGAAAAAATCAACTAATGGGAAATTTTTTTTAAGTTTAAATGGATATTGAAGCATACATTCAAAAGTGTTATTAATTTCTGATTAATTTCTTTCAAGAAACCACCAAATTTTCCGTGATTTTTCTGAAACTAAATCGTCAACAAAACAAAGAAATATTAATGACTAGACAAATAGGCATGTTTTTCATGCTCACTTCGATTCCATTCAATTTGTTCTGAAAAGTGAAATCTCCAGATGGACGCGATAAAATTTCTGTATACATACTAGGTCAACGGAAAAATTTCTGATTTTTATTTTATCGACATTGCAATTTCTTTTCTATTTGATTTGATGATACGACACAATTTCATATGTCTCATATGTCTCATTTCCTTTACGCCCATATACCGCCATCATTTCAGCTTCAATGTAATTTTATTGCATTATTGTAGCTTTATGTCTATTTATGTTCAGATTTTTCATCAAAAATTCAATGCAACTATAAAATAATAAAACAACAAGGAATCTCATGTCTTTCGATAACTACGGTCATCTTTTTCATTGGCTAAAATTAGTTGTTTTTTCCACTCGAAAATGCATATGTACGTGCATAATAAGAAATTCTTGACAAACTTTACAACTTTTATTTTCTTTTTTTCTTTGTTGAATTTCAATTTTCAATTCAATTTTTTTTTTAAATTTTTAATAAATATATTTGCTTACTTTATTTAAAAAAATATTTCTCAAGAATTCAATTTTATCGTCAATCAATAAAATTTTGACGCGCCAAAACTGTTTTTAATTTGCCATGGAAAATGGCAAAAATTGAAAATTTAATTAAATTTTAGAATATAGAAATCTTACTGTGTCGACTTTTAGTAAGCAGTTATCACACTCGTAACCGGCTGATATGTGTTGTTTGCAACATGAGCAATAATACACGCTTTCCGAGCATTCGATGGGGCTCCAATAATGTCCACCTAAAAATAGTAATATTTGATAAGTCTCCATTTTTCATATTTTTTTCACGAAATTTTCAAGTTATTAATAGAAAACGCTCCATCTGCTAAATATTTATTGCTCGGACATTCCATGTCAAAATGGAATGTACACATTTCCTTTTTTGGCAAATCTTGTCTATCAGTGGAAAAAAATAGAACTCACTTTTAGAGGAAGTGTCGTTGATAGATTTCCTTTTTCTATTTGCTAATAATTTGCGGAATAAAAATAAAACAAGAGACGTGAATAATAAAAACGCAGCCGCCACAACCAATTCATTGTCAAAATTGAAATCGAACGGGAACATTAAGATTTTCTACTGTTTTTTTGTCGAAAAATCATAAAAGTCTCGTCACGCGTGGAAAATCACCATGCCTCGCTTCGAATTGTTGACTAGTTTTCATTTTGTTTGCCCATCGCTTATTTCTCAACTTGAAGAGAACACGCAGCGCGTCAACTCGGTGCGACGCGGCCGCACCGGGCTGATTTTGAATAAAGAGCAGGGCGGCCGATGTTGCATTAATACACAGTGGTTCGCCGCGTCTGAACAAAGCACACGAAATAATCGAAATAATGATTTTTTTTAGATATCCCAGAAAACAAGAAAACGGAAATATGTTATCAAAAATGCTTTGTGACTATGTATATTCAATCTGAATGCATTTTGGATGTATTCTATAAATGTGAAATAAGTAAAATAAATTTTTTACATTAAAAAATACAATATGAAATTGTAGAAAAATATGGAAGTAAACATATGAATAAGGTATGAGTCGTTTTACTATAAATGTTGAGTCCGGAATATTATTTTCAAAAACATTTTTTAGACAGATTATCAATCGAAACATATTAAGGCAAATCCACTCTCAATGACTTCCCTTTTTTGTATTAAAAAATACATTAATCGTTTCTAAAGACGGTAATCAATAAACCAGTACTTTTTCAAGGTCGATGACTTGGTTCCATAGCAATTTTCTTTACCAATACTTCGTGTTTATTCCTAGACGTGAAAAAATGACTATTTAACAATGATGATGTTATTTTCAACACATGTTCACTTAGGGTTTCACATTGATATAAGGTCATTTCTAAAATGTCAAGCAATGAATATCTTTGCAAACGTACCAAATGAGTTTTAAAAGATTCTGACCGATTTGTAAAAGTGAAACAAACTTAAACAATTTTCGGTGCTAAAATAAATTTTAATGTTTCTATTCCAACAAAATATTTCGTTAAAAAATTTGTTTCGCTCAACGAGTAAAAAATCTAAAGTGTTTATGTTTATTTAACACCTTATCTATCTGTTTGTCAGTTCAACGATGTCAAATCGACAAATGCTCTCACATTTCACTCATTTCTAACTACAACTCATACTAGTTGCTTTAATTGTTACAAAAAATGAGTTATATAGGCAGTAGAGTAATGAATTAAAATAAAGGTGCGTTGATTTCTTGAATAACATAAAGGTATCACTGATTGATCATCAATAAAACCCGCCTCAAAACTTGTTGTGTTCAACTTTTTTCCGTGTTTCCTTAACAGTCGTATGAGAATGTTTGACATCCGATCGGTCGCAAGATAAGTGACGCTATGGAGGACGGTTGATTCGATTTATGACATTTATTCAATGCAATTCATAATCAATAATGTCTGTGCATTTCGTTTCGCGAATAAAGTCACAAGCGAAACGTGATTTCAATTTAAATGATTCATTCATATCTTATGCATTTTCAATTTATTCTCAGTGAACCAAGGAATGAATTTTTGGCTATAAATATTTCGGTTGGCTCCATTTCGACGCCATCGAAAAAAAAATCTATTTTCGTTTTGAAATGCATATCCATAATGATTTTATTCATCCAAAATAATAGAAATGTTTTCTTGTAATCTGACACCAAACTAGAGGATTTTCTGGAATTTCCCTCGGATGTAAAATGAGCCAAGGCAATTACGATGAGATGCAGCCATGAATATTTTAGTCCCAAAAAGGCATTTTGAAGTAATGTGTGTTTTTGGCAAATACTGTTGAATAACATACATTCACTCTAAAGATCACATTGTCTATTTCCAGCCAACCAGTTTTACGTGTTTTCGTTCCTTTCTTATTATTTCCATCCGATCAATGCATTGTGAACCAAATCAAAACCAATAGATATTGTTCTGTGGCGAGGATTTTCCCAGGCTCTCAAACAATTGATAAGCCTTTATTAAATTTCGTTATAAAACAATCTGTAAGCATATAAGATGAAACTTTGCAGCTCCGCACAAATAAATACAATACCTTGCTCTCATAGTTTTTTTGTTTTCGTAAAATCGTAACGTATGAATTTGAGTTGCATTTAATTTTTTTCAGCTACTTTTTTAAGCCAACAACTCTACATAATTGGTATATCCGGCTTAAGACCCGTAAACTGCTGTATGTTATAATTATAATAAGCATTCTATCGGATTTTTTTTTGGTTTTGCACTTTGTCGTTATCTGCAGTCTGTTTACCAAGGCAACACTTCATAAACAAAGATTGCAACGGTATACATGTGTAGATAATTGTATGGCGGTTGCCTAATTACTAATTCAACATCGATGAAATATTACCCGATTTGGAGATCAGATTGACTTATTTTGTTAGAAACGGGTACCTCGGTGATGGAATGCAATTAGGCATGTACGATTTCCTATGTCAAACTAACCTTGGCTTTTATCCACGCAGCGTCTAGTTTAAAATATGCAGTTTCACTGGAAAATGTTCCTCTATTCTATATAGTAATGTGATTTTTAAAAGATTGCCGCATATGGAGTTGCGACGCAACACATCATAGTTTCTCTCGTATTTACGTGTTATTCTTCCCGCCGGTGTGTGTGTACGTTTGGCACAAAATGGTCGATTTATGACATACTAGTCGACCGCAATTTTCTACAAACAATTCGCGTGCGCGCACCTTTGCCCATCGTTCGTCGTCTCCCCGTTTTGACAGTATCATTCGTTTTTGAGTGCGCTCTTGCTCGTTCGAACCATTAATGTCGACTGCTGTCGAGTTTCCAGCATTTGCTGTTTCAGAAATAATTAACAGATTTTTTTGCATTGATAAGAGGAATGATGAATCAGTAGAAAAAGCGTCACCTGTATATAGATAACATTTTCCAATTTCGTCTTTTTTCACCGTGATTGGTCGTCATGTTCGATTCAATCATTGTTTATAAACCGTTTTACGTTCAATTTTTCATAAACATTTTGACATTGGAATATTTTGTCATTTTCAGCAACCTTCAACATGTCGGACAATGAAGCGGTCGTCGAGAATGGAATCGGCTACGAATATAAGAAGCCACCAGAGACATCGATCAACGAGCTATTGAATAAGGACACGGTAAGTATTATTATCATTATTATTATTGTTATGCTGTTAACGAAGAATGCAATTTGATAATGTAGCATATTTTTTTCAAATCGTTGCCATTTTCTGTTTAGCTTTAGCCTAAATTAGAAGTTTCAAACCTTTTTGAGAAAATTTCCTCGAAAAAGTGCTGCTTATTTTTTGATTATTTGTTTCAATCGGATTCCAGCAATTGAATCCATTGTACCGATTCATTCATGCGTGAATTTTTCAAAGAATGTTCGTTCGCTTGATTGGAGTTGCCAAATATGCGCGGGGATATGGAGATAAATGAAAATTATTTGAAAAGGGAAAACCAATTCTAACACACGTTCAATTTCAGAATGATGAATCTCTAAAAGTTTACAAGGAGAAACTTCTTGGACAAGGAAACGTTGTTATTGATCCGAATGATCCGCGTCGTGTGCTTGTCCGAAGTGTTGAGCTTATGATTGAAGGAAAGGATCCTGTGGTTCTCGATCTTTCTGATCCGAGTATGATTGATGTCATAAAAATGTCGAAGACTACTGAAATTTCAGCGAAACTCAAAACTTCTGAAATGTCTTTGACAATCAAGGAAGGATCGAATTATCGACTCAAATTCTCGTTTCATGTTCAACGTGAAATTGCTTCTGGACTTCAGTAAGATTCAAACATTCTTGTTCACTAGTTGGTCCCTCGTTTTGCAGTTATAAACATAAAATCAAGCGCTCTGCGGTTACTGTGGGAACCGAGACATATATGATGGGAAGTTTCGCGCCGAAAACGGAAATTCAGGAATCGCTCTCTCCCATGGAAGAAGCACCATCCGGTGAGAATTCGGGGGTTTAATGACGCAACAAAGTTATTTTATCATGAGAAAATGGTCTTTCCGTTTTGTTTTCGAAATTGGCGTTGAGAACATCAACAAAAGTCGAATGTTAGATGAACCAGAAACAATAATGATGACGAACAATAAAAACGAACACTCATAGAAAACAATAGAAACGTTTAACATTTTTGATCGGGAAATGACAGTACTAATCAATATAACTATATTTTCAGGAATGTTGCATCGCGGAAAATACAAGGTTCATTCAGAAATCACCGACGACGATAACAATGTATATCTTGATTGGAAATGGACCTTGCACATCACCAAAGACTAATTCTACCAGCATTTATATGCATTCTACCGGTACGTAGATAAGTCAACAGCAAGTGATTCTTTTTCACGCTTCTCAATTCAACATCCAACTTATCTGTGCTATTTACATTTTATCAATTCTTATATTGTTTTATTGACGAATTACCAAAAAAGATGCGAGACTGAATAAATAAGTTGGTATAAAAAAGCTGCTTAGAAAATATTTTTTGACAAATACACATAGGATTTTCACAAAAAAATTAAGGAATGGTTGCAGTTATTTATAAGCATTATTTATAGTTCAACCGGAAGTGGTTTGCAGTTAGAGTTTGTCGTTCTCCGGATCAGTTGGTGGCTCTAAAATAAATAAAAATTGAAAGTCATTATTCAAGACGAAACGTAATTACTCTTCACTTCTTCCCCTTGACTTTTGAGCCATTGCTCCATCTCTGCCGCCTCAGCATCCGACGGAATCTGAAAACTAACTGCTCATTTCAATTATATCGCAAGTAAACGAACCTTACTGCTCACAGCAGTAGCGAGCCCAACGCCGGTTTGCGGCTCCGCATTCGCCTTATACGCTTCTTCCGATGAAGATGCTCCCGCAGTCGTGACTTCTGAACCGAAAAAAAACATTAAGCTTCACATCTAATTAAACGCAGTACTCATTGAGTTGAGCTGCTGCTCTAACGTTTTTCCATCGCTCATATCGATGAGGTCTCTTGCCTCGCCTCCATCTTTTTTCGTGGTGAGAAGTCTTTGATATTTTTCGAAAAGGCTGTTGAAAGTGTCATTCACAGTTAAGAGCTCGACTAAAACAAAAAATTGTCAGAAGAATATTCGGTGAAATTTCGTAGTACATGTGACTTCTTCATTGCTCACATATCGGATCAGAATGAGAACACGTTCCTGCATCTTTTTGCATGTTTCATAGAGATCGGCAAGAAGTTGTAATTCATCGGTTGTCTCTTTTCCCGGGACCAAGTCGTTCAATGTCTCGCGGAAAACCTGAAATATATACAGTGTTTTATGAGAAATTGCAGTAGTTCTATTACTTTGATGTTGGTGTTTACAACGTCCAAGTCAGCACGAAGTTTCGCGAGTTGCTCCTCATTAGCTACAATTGGTTCCTGGCCATGTTCGCGAATGGTTAGAACATCGTACGTCTAAAACATATGAATGCGGAAACAATCTTTTGGCTTGAAAATTTTTAAAATCAAATACCCAATGGCACAATACTACAGAAAATGGAATATACCGAATGATTTTGCTGATGGTGATGAGGAACGGATTGTTGAGATTGAGCTGCTTCTGCCGATGTCTGTTCTTCATTGAATACAGTCTGTTCAAACGCACATTACAACAGGTTCACAACATCACATCTAGGCAATTGAATACTAATATTTTACTTACACGCTTTGGTGTTTTGATCGGAGCCATTGAATCAAGATCAGCAGCTGGAAACTCAACTCCCTTGGACTTCAAATCATTATAGACTTGAACGACTCCGGAAAGATTGGGATCGTTGCGAAAAGCGTCAGCCCAAGCTTGAATCAAGCTTAAGACACGCTCCTGGATAATTTGCGGCGCGTCAAATTTGGGGCCGATCAATTTCACCAAATCCAAAATAAAATCCTTGTTGCAAACAAGGACATGGAATCGCGAGTCGCAATTCTTGACGGCGGTTTCAAGAACCGTTAGGGTGTACATAACTACCGCATTATTTCGGTTCATCGATGAATGAAGACGTTTCTTCAATGCACGAATGGCGTCGCGTGGTCTAAAATTAATAAAATGCTAATAAATTTATGGAAAAAAGACTGGCAGTGTTTACCCTTCTTCAGTTCCATTGATAAAGTCACAAATCTCCATGTTGAGACCCCAATTCTCGGTAGCCAAAATATTAGCATCGGTGGCAAGCTCTAAAAATTTTACCTATTGAGTAATCTGTTTCATTGAAAAGTATTTATGAGTTTCGTTAAAGAATTCGATAAATCATTTTTTCTGTTCATTTTCCACTGTCTGAGAACAATTATCTTTAATTATTGTATTTTCTTTTTGTATCAGGATTTTATAAAACTTTTTGCACTTCCATTTTCTATATCCCTAATCATACATATGAGTCAAAACGGAAAAAAATAATTGTTTTACTTATATTGTTCATTATAAACATATTGCTCGTGCAAAATCTTTGCAAACGTTTATCTGTTTAGAATAATAAATCATCGAAAACCGCAAGGTTCTCGCCGCATTTTAGCCCCTCTTCATATCTTGTTTTCATTAAAGAGTACGTAGTTCCTCTTTTCACACAAGTCGACGTGTCTTTAGCCCGAATAGAACCGGTTCGTCCTTCTCATCTTACGTGTAATTTCGCGATTTGCTGGATGGGACGCAGGTTGGCCTGCTGGTGGAAAGAAATGGGCAATGTCCGTAAGAATCCGGATCGGTACAATGGATTAAACGTTTGTCTCTTTTTACCGCCCGCATAAGTACTCTCTGGTGTTGCACGAATAACATCGCATATGCTAATGGTCACGTATGTTTATAAATACAGCGACTGAATACTGAAACAAAATGAATCGCTCACCAATTTTTCGACCAACTGGTGTTGAAAACGGATTTCCTTGGAAGAAGTCGGATACCTGTTCACCGACCTTCGCCACGGTTTCTCTAGCGCTCTCAGCAGCTTTCGAGACTTGTTCGCCAACGTTGCTCATCCTGAAAAATAGATTATATGAAGAGAAATATTGGATATGAATCTCGAGTCAAAATGAGATGGAGCAAATATTGGATATAAGCATGAAAAAACACCCAGAAGGCGGGACTAATAAAAAGTCAAATGTTTTTTTTTTAATTTTGTATTTTTGTATATTTTCTATAAGAGGTACAAATTTTCGTGTTAGAAAGAGTATAAAATAATAAATTTTGTAGTTCCAACTCGAAGGCTTTATCAAAAACAAGCGGTGCAATTTTATTTTTTTTTAATAAATACTAAACTATGTAAATTTCCAACAGTTTTTATAAGAAATCTATTAATTTTTTTTAAGTATTTCTTTTTCAATAAATTTGAGGACTCGTGCAACTTTATATTGATTTTAATACATATTTGTGACACTATTTCGCAACATTTTTCACCAGGCCATTCAAAAACTCTTTTTAATTTCGTTAAGGTGATTTTATGTTTTCCTGCGTGCAAAAACGTAAAATAGTTTTATTAGAAAAATTTTTATTCCTGTTTCATTTTTATGCTTCATAAACGAACCGTATACCAAAAAAGCAAATAAATACGGACTCTTATTATTTAATGAAATGTAAAAAAAACGGCGTTTAACACGATCGAATAAAGTTATTCTCGATAAAATTCTATGTTGAAATAGTTGTTGCAATATTTGTGGACCTTGAGTAAGTAAAGGTAAATATTGCTTAAAATGTGACACAGCTGGAATTGTTGTGTAATTCATAAAATTCAAAATTTGAGCAAAAAAAAACAAGTTAATTAAATTAGCTTCATAAAAATAAGCATTGTGGCATGCCTGACCAGTTAATTTAGATATATTATTTTTAATTTGAAAATACGCTAAGAACGAGCGGAAATTAAGTAATAAACATGCGCAAATGTGAAAAAATCGATTGTTGTTGTTATGGGTGAAAATGCAGTCGTCGTAGCTCTCGCTCCTCACTTTGTCTCTCTAGTCAACACGAACACTCGCACTCTCGTGTGAAAAAATGACATGAACTAAACATGGAACTGTCGCTTAAAACGCACGATTCATGTGCAATAATACTTGAAATATCATGAGTATCGCGATGTATAAGACGCATACAATATTGTGCATAAAACAGAAAATAACCTGATCATTGCGGGTCACACAATTGCAAAACGCGATGAACATAAACAACAAACAATTATTTAATTAAACCTCATTGCTACATTTGAAATACATTTCAGTGAAGCTATTTATAAACATACCTTCTTGGCTTTTGAGACATTGCCAGGTGCTACTTTCTTAGGAGTCTATTTGCCCAATCAATATTGTCGACGTTTAGTTACTTGGCTGTGCCAAGGTGGGAGACTTGTTTGTGCTTATCTCTCTCTCGGGTGTCGTTTGAATTGCACAAAAGAGGTTTTCAAATTGTAAACAAGGTACAATTGAGAGAATGTGACAGTTTAAATTTTATTGACTGATATTAATTGCATAAAAATTCCCGTTCGGTTTTACATTTTATGAATAAATATTCATAAAATATGATATTAGCAAATCCGACACGTTATTTTCATATTTTACTTCCTCATGACATTTTTGCGTCTATTCTACACATTGTGATCATCCATTGAACTCTAGTCAAGCAGCAAAAAGAGCCCTTTGAAACTAGTCCGGCTATCCGACGCTGTTAATTGGGGTCGTTTTTCGCGTTACTTGATTGATCACCACAAGAAGATAAGATGTCTCGAGTGTTTTAATATAGGAAAAAAGGTTGATCGCGATATGAATCACTTTTATGCGGCGACCTTGACATGGTGCTGTATTCTACACAATTGATATCCACAGTTCGACCTATATACATTTGGACGTGTTTCATTGAAATACTTGTGCATATGGCCACCACATGAATACTAATTTTCCGATTAAGATAAACAAATTTCCTGCAAGAAGTTTCGGTCTTCCCCCCCTAAATCGATGGCATTCCTTTATACAACGCATTTTACGACAAGAGAGGCGTCACAAGACAAAAAGGAGCAACCAAGGCACTTTTTTTCTGAAGAAACATAACATTAAACTCGGAGTGCATAGGTTATACCAGAGATAAGAGCGGAGGCCAAGTGTAGAGTTGGGAAGTAAGAATGGATGGCAAAGATTTTCGACGTTTTCAAATTTTTCGAAACGAAAGGATTATCGGAAAATTCACTATTTTTTAAGTGAAAAAGTAAATTAACTTGAAGGATGTAAAATGAGATTTTGACAAAAATATCAAAATAATTCTCTGAAACTATGAAAAATTCCCACTTTCTATGTCTTATGGGAACTATGTTGTAATATACGAATAAGTTTCCAAGTCATTTTTGTTTGCATTAGGATTCAAATACCCGTTCCTTCCGCTAGCCAACGAGCGCGGAAGCACCCGCGGAGAAAAAAAAATCGGTTTCTATCTCTCGAGTTTTTGCATTAGTTGTTCCGCATGCAGTTGACCTACAATGTGCGTAAATTCATCATTTTTCGATTTGTCCTACTACTACGTGAGTTTTTGTGGATATGATGCGAGAGGAAATCGCCAGAGAAACGGGGGTTCCATTGACCTCTCAACGCGTCGAACTGCAAAACCAATCGGCAACGAGGGGGCGTGGCAGCAACGAGCCAATAAGAACACTCCACGGTCAAGATAGCGTGGACACCTTCTCACATACAGCGGACACTCCCGTATCTGAACACATTCATTGTTTCTGCGATGTTGCGGCTCGCCGGTTTGTTTTTCCTTGTCTTGGGAGCCTCTGCTGCCGTTATCGAAGAGGAAGAGAATGTTATTGTTCTCACAAAGGTTTGTAAATAATTTATTGTAAGGTTTCCACCCAATCAACAACACGCATTTTAGGACAACTTCGATGAAGTGATCAATGGAAATGAATTCATTCTTGTCGAATTCTATGCTCCATGGTGCGGACATTGCAAGGCGCTTGCCCCAGCTTACGCCAAGGCTGCCACTCAACTCAAGGAAGAAGGATCCCCCATCAAACTCGGAAAGCTTGACGCCACCGTTCACGGAGAAGTCTCTTCCAAGTTCGAGGTAAGAATTTGCATTTTTTTCTCAGGAAAATATATTCTGCACAACATCGACACAATTTTAAATTATTAACGTTTGAAGGTTCGCGGATACCCAACTCTCAAACTTTTCCGCAATGGAAAACCACAAGAGTACACCGGAGGACGCGACCAAGATTCGATCATCGCCTGGTTGAAGAAGAAGACCGGACCAGTCGCCAAGCCACTCAATGACGCCGATGCCGTTAAGGAACTCCAGGAATCCGCTGATGTTGTCGTTATCGGATATTTCAAGGTATTGTAATTGTTTTATGCGTCCTTGACCGAGATCGCCCTTGAATTGCGATCGCGAAATAGTGAATCAAATATGACCTCATTTTAAATGCGGCTTTTTTTTAGGACGCCGAATCTGATGACGCTAAGGCCTTCCTCGAAGTCGCCGCCGGAATCGATGATATCCCATTCGGAATCTCGACTGAGGACGCCGTCAAGAAGGAGATTGACGTTAAGGGAGATGGAATTGTTCTCTTCAAGAAGTTCGATGATGGACGTGTTGCCTTCGACGAGAAGATCACCCCAGAGACCCTTAAGACCTGGATCCAGGCTAACCGCCTTGCGCTCGTTTCGGAATTCACCCAGGAAACCGCCTCGGTCATCTTCGGAGGAGAAATTAAGTCGCACAACCTTCTTTTCGTCTCAAAGGAATCGTCGGAATTCTCCAAGCTCGAGACTGAGTTCAAGAACGCCGCCAAGCAGTTCAAAGGAAAGGTCCTCTTCGTCTACATCAACACCGACGTTGAAGAGAATGCTCGTATTATGGAGTTCTTCGGATTGAAGAAGGACGACCTCCCAGCCATCCGCCTCATCTCTCTTGAAGAAGACATGACAAAGTTCAAGCCAGACTTCGATGAGATCAGCACTGAGAACATTGTCAAGTTCACCCAGAACTACTTGGATGGAAATGTCAAGCCACACCTTATGTCTGAGGAGATCCCAGAGGATTGGGACAAGAACCCAGTCAAGGTTCTCGTCGGAAAGAACTTCGAGCAGGTTGCCCGTGATCAGACCAAGAACGTCCTCGTTAAGTTCTACGCTCCATGGTGCGGACACTGCAAACAATTGGCTCCAACCTGGGATAAGCTCGGAGAGAAGTACGCTGACCACGAGAACATCGTCATCGCCAAGATGGACTCCACTCTTAACGAGGTAAATTCAATAGTCGTGTGGAAAAAATAATCGAAATAATTTTTCAGGTCGAAGATGTCAAGATCCAATCCTTCCCAACCATCAAGTTCTTCCCAGCCGGATCCAACAAGATCATCGACTACACCGGAGACAGAACCCTTGAAGGATTCAGCAAATTCCTTGAGACTAACGGAAAGGATGGAGCTGGTGCTTCTGATGAGGATAAGGCCGAAGAGGAGGGTGAGGAGGAAGGACACACCGAGCTCTAAATTCTTGCCACAAACGGGGTCTCAGCTACCTGTTGTTACAAACCATCGTTAACTTATTTATTGTCAAAAAATCTCCAATATTTCACAACAATCCTTAAGTCAAATGGACCCACTTACATAACATTTAATAAATCGCTCAATACGCGGTGAAACTTCGTTCGTTTGCCTCTAGAGCCACATTTAGTTATGAATCTATTTGTGTTTATTATTGGCAACTTATTTTGGTATTGTATTGATGAATTTCAATGCAAAATTTTCTCATTGCATTCGTGTCAATTATACTGGGTTTTTTGTTTTAATAAATCGTAAACAGTATTTTTGTTCGGTTTTATTCAGGAAAAATATTCTAAATAGTTCAGAGATGGGATTATTTGGTCGCGTTGTGATTCACATCTTCATCCTTCAGAAGTTTGATCTAACCATTTTGTTTTTTTAATATGTGTTAAAAATTTAGCACATCGAGAATTTCTGTGTATAATAGCTATGACATCCAAAGATTCAAAAATTGAAAGCAGTCGATATTTCGCAATACACGCATTTCCAAAAATACACATTCCCAGCGTTGGTTAGAAAACTTTTCTTGAAATGAAGATCAATTTCAAGTTCCTTTAAAATAAAAGTAATCAAGATATGTAAATGCATATATGCGATATTTAAGTTCACGTGTAGTTTCCATTTGCTGACGTGTGTAATCATTCTCTGCTTACAGCCGTGGACGAGTGAACATGAGAATTTTTTTTCAACGAATTTTAATTTTTACATGAAAGGAAAAAAGCAAATATTGATAAAATTATGCGGTAAAGCATACTTTAGAACACTGAAGTCAGATTCATCAAAAATAAAAATTTTTATGTATGAGTATGTGAAACATCGAAAATTATTCCATCCTAAAAATCTTCGACGATTCGGAAGATTTTTAACAGATTTTGAGAGTTATTTTTAAATCAAATCGATTAGTCTTAAGATAATATTTTTAACGGATTCAAACAGTTATAAATTTCAGCAGTTCTTTAAATTTAAGAAAGCGATTTGGTGTTTTGAAACTAATTGTACCAAGTTATTTGAAATTTTTTCAAACACTCGCGGCTGATGTTAATGATTATATTTTTGTAAAAAATGTACCCTAAAAAACAAGGGCTTCAGTGGTTCCATCAGTATGGTAAGAAGAAACTTTTTGGTTTTGATTAATTGCAGAGTATTTTGGGAAAAAGAGAACAATTAAATAGCCAAAAGAAGCGCCCTCGGTTTTGCACGAAACACTAAGCTATGGTGATGTCTTATTGGGGTATTGTATTGGTAGTGTTTAGAAAATTTAGGACCGACATCGGCAGCCTGAGGGAAGATGATTTTTTAATTACTTCTAAGTATTTTTGTCAGATATCGTTAAGAATCCAATTATACCGATCGTTCTTAGGGAAAATTCATACCATCGAACATGATAACAAAGAAAGAAGAGGAAATCCATTAAAAATATCGTTTAACCTAAGTAAATTGAAATCACAATAGCAAATTGAACGTATATAATAACACATATAATAAATTAAACGTACATAATAACGCATATAACAAATATTTCATGAATTTTCCGGAAATTAATTTTTCTACTTCTTGAAGTAATTAGTCCAATAATAAATTGATTGTTTGGTTTTTGTCTAGATTTTTATATCATTCCATGGAAAATTGAGAATTTCTCGTAGATTCTCGATTTGGTTGATATTTGAAACCTCTGAAAAGTTTTGGATTCACCACTAATTAGCGATTGTAAAGAGGGCTATGCAATATAATATTCATCCATATTTTTTTTAGAATTTCCAGAGTTTGTCGTTTTTTTTTAACTTTTTATTAAATGTTTTACTATGTTTTCATGAGATTACAAACAAACTATTTCTTATCATCATTAGTAATGAGTTGGAATAGAAATTCGTCGACAAGTACCGGCAAATGTACGATAATACGCACAAATGAAAAGATAAGGTTTTTTGATGATATATATATATATATATATATATATATATATATATATATATATATATATATATATATATATATATATATATATATATATATATATATATATATATATATATATATATATATTTTTGTGCAATTTCTGATCTCTGAACTGCTCAATTGAGGTAAGTATCGAATATTGTTTGCATTTGAGGCCGAACGGGACAAACTTTGCAAACTTCGCCCACCCTTTGCAACTTCGCCCAGACATTAAACGCCGAAAAACAAAATGACGCGTGCGTTCGGGTAGAAGAAATCCTATATTTAATCATATTCAAATATGGTATAGTTTTTCTTAATCGCTCATAAAGACTTATTAGAAATTCAATATTTCCTCTTTTTTCTATGTGGATGCAGCATTCTTTCGTCTTACTCATTTTTCTTCTTTTTTGAAATTCAACTCTTACTCAAACTGAATTTTAACTGACAACTTTAATTTTTTTATCAACTAGAATTTCATTTTTAGAACTACATTTTAAATTTTTTTCAACAAATGGATAAAAATCGTAATTTTGATTTTTCGAAATCATCACATTTTTTCCCTTGGTAGGACCAAGTGGTCGGAAAATTTAAAATATATTTAAAATTTCATATTGCAGAGCAATTCCTGGCAAGGAATGGTTATCAGAGGGTGTAAATCATCAAATTTCATTGCTAGGCATATAAAAAATGTAATTCTGCCTCATTATTGTAGTCCACTCTCCACGTTTTTATTGATGAATGAAACTAGAAAATGCCTCAATACAAGGGGATGGAAATGAAAAAAAAAATCGTGTTTCTATGTTTACTAAAATTGCTCACATGGTGTATTCACAAAAAGTCCAGATTTGAAATCGCTAATACACAAATACCAATCATTTGAGAGTAATCGGAAAAATGTCAAAATTTCGAAAAATCAAACTTGCAATTTTTATCAATTTCCTTTGTATCCACTTTTGGGTACATCAATTATGGTTTTTCAACAAAAAAGATTTAAATGGAGTTCTAGTGAATAAAAAATTATCCCAACATTAATACTTTACTCTTTCCATCGTTACATGCTCAAACAAAAGATGAAACTATGGATATGAAAAGTATCGAAATTTTCGTATATTGAACGTGCAAATTTTAAGAAAAATTGTGAACGTAGGGGAAAACGACTTCCTTTGGGAGAAAAAAGTGTCTCAAAAATTTTGACCCAGGCAGGGGTCGAACCTGCAATCTTCTGATTAGAAGTCAGACGCCTTATCCATTAGGCCACAAGGCCACGAATTATCTGGCAGCGTTGTCCGTAGACATGCTGGGCTTTGCAGCGAAATAGTAGGAGGGTCGATGAGACAGCGTGTGCCTCGTGCGTGCAACGCGAAATGGAGGGGCACAATTGAGACTTGAATAGAGTTCAAATCGATGACAAATCTACAATGCCACTTTTGTATTACGCAAGGAAGTAGTGCAAACTCAAATCTTCCGGTCTTTAAATGTGTCGACAAATTTGTTTTCATTTTGCACGCTGTTCACAAATGTTGAATAAAAATACTAGACATTCGTCAAAAAAACCAAGTAGTCGCGAGAATTTGTTTGGCTCGTTACAGCTCGGATCAATCATCACCCATTGGTCATCGTCTCTAGGCGACCCGTCGTGTTTCGCCACTCTCATTTGCACGTTGATCCCTACAAGTTACTCTGGCTCTCCTAGATCTAACCTCTTCGCGTTCTGACAAATGTTTTATTTCGAGATTAAACTTCGTTTGGAAACAAAACTCGCAAATTGTCGACCAAAATTTTGTGGCCATCGATGTATTGCTGATAAGAAACGTTTCGTTTCTCTTTTATCCAACGTTCAATTGAACTGTTTGATTCGTCTCAATTTTGCGCCGAATGTTTGTGTTTGTCGTGCCTTATTGATTACAACGCCATATGGCCAGAAACGAGTTAATTTGATAAAAATGTCGAATTTTGTCGTTTTTTATACCTTCTATACGAAAGTTCTGTTCCTCAATCTTTTTTTTCGTTTATTTTGCCAAGTCAAACACGAGCAATGAAATGCTTTTTCCAGGTAATTTCAAGATGAAGAACGGCAGCGACTCAGACGGTAATGTTTCATATTCGTTAATCCCCAATCATGAAAGTAAGGATTCTAATATATTGATATAATCAAAACATATTAGAACATTTTTAATAATGATTTCTTCAGAAGAGCCTAATTCGAAATGCCACATTTGCGGGGATGTTGCTACTGGTCGCCATTATGGAGCTATTGCTTGTAATGGTTGCAAAGGTATATTCTATTATAGTATTTGTGACCGAGAAATCACGAAATCTAGGATTTTTCCGTCGGACAATTCGAAAAAACTATTCTTATCGTTGTCGATTTGGAAATACTTGCAGCATAGATAAAAGTGAATTTTTTATTAATTTATCGCTTAGAAATAATTAATTTCTACAGGCAACCGCGCTATTTGCCGTTTCTGTCGGTACATGAAATGTGTCAATTCGGGCATGAAAGAAGATCAAGTTCAAAATGAGCGCGATGTTATTGGAAAAAGGTTTTTGATAGTTTCGATTTGGATTCACAGAACTTATATGTCAATGTAAAATGAAAGAGAGAAAACAGAAAATGTTTCAATGCGGAAAAAATCGTTTGCCCCCTTTCTTTTTTTTTGGAATTGAAATTTTCTCGATTTTTAAATTATTTTTTCTCTTTATTTTGCGAATTAGAATGTTCTAACAAATTTTTGAAAACAATAATCACACAATTATTTGTTTTGGGAGATTTATTAATGATACAAAAATACATATGTAATAAGAATTAATTATCTAGGAATATTATAGAATTAAAACGGAACCAGGAATATCAAGGAGCGTTTCGAGTAATTCGGATAGGTATTATGAACAAAATGACAAAAAATATTAGCACGTCTTTTATTTTAATTAAGAACTCCATTGACATCTCCTGATTTGCCATCGAACGACACTGCTTTATCGGAACATGAAGCTATCCTCGAAAATCTGTTGCGATCGGAAACGACCATTCAAAGCTTGCGGGATACGGTGATCAAAGAAATCGGAAATGTGGAATACACTACAAAAGGAACTGATGTACTATTTCAATATTAGTATTTCCATTTATTTGTTCAATTGTTTTCAGTTTTCACAATTGTTTGGTGTTTGTACTGCGACCTTGAATGATGTTTTGAAATCGATGCACAGTCAACTATTGCTAGTCATCGAATGGGCAAAAACACTTCCTGAGTTCACTCAACTTAGGAGTGAAGACCAAGTATTATTTAATTATTTTAATCGAAACCAATAATTGAATTACAGACTCTTCTGCTTAAAAACTTTGCTGGCCAACATGTCACATTATGTGTTGCGTACCGCTCCAAAGATAATCCAGACGTTTTGAAGCTTTTGAATGATAGATTAATCCCACGTGCATCGAATTCACCAACAATAATTAATGACAAGTGCTTAAATAAGCAGAAAGAACTTGAATTATTACTTTGTTCACAGATTGGACGGGTTTTATCTTCGAGATTGTGAGAAGGTAATGGATCAACTTGTTGCTCCAATGCGTTTTCTGAACATGGATGATACTGAATTTGTCGCAATGAAAGCTTGTATCCTTTTCAATCCAGGCATACTTCAAATAAGTTTATGCATAGCTTCATAGTTTTTTTTTTCAGTTGTTAGAGGATTATCTCCGGAGGCTGCTAAAATTGTTCTTGCAACTCGTCGAAAAATTTTTGCCGCTCTTCAGAACTACGTGCAAGTTAAAAAGCCAAATGAACCGACAAGAGTTGGAGACCTCACATTCTTCATATTGACACCAATTGCAGTAAGTCGACTATTTTTGTCTACATTTGTTTTACTAGTATTCAGATCCTTGTTTTTTTTAACGCATTATCACAGAAATGTTTTTAAAACCATCGTGTAGATTGTGATCTTCAATTAATATTATCAAAAATGCATTTGAAATGACGATGGAATTATTAAACTCATGTGTCTACTGATAAAGTCCAAAAAATTTCTAAATGTGAATCAAGTAAATGCACTCTCATTGAAAAAGTGCATATTTAGATTCAAATTTTACAAATTGCACGTATTTGCATTGAGTAAAAATGACATTATGTAAGTACTGAATAGGTTAATGAACCAGAAAATTTTTTGTCCATCGGGATTGCAAATTGAATTGCTCGCCGAGCATCTTTTATTATGATTCAAAAACATGTGAAAACATTTGCTTCAGACTCTTGCTCAGCAGATTTCTGAAGATGTTATGTTCACAAAAGTGAGCGGCGCTGCTCGAATTGATGTCTTGATGCAGGAATTAATACTATCAGATATCGAAGAAACAACAAATCCACCACGTATGAGTTTGTGTGTTGTCATAATATCAATTGAAAAGCTTTTCTACAGCACCCAACGCTCCTCTTGACGCAGATGTTCCCACTACAAGTCAAACAACGTTGCCGCAAATTCAACCAACACAATATCCAAACTTCACAATGACAATGGCACCGAATAATCCATTCATGACGTGTAATGGGATAACTATGTAAGGGAACAATTGCACTTTCACATGGTTGATATGTTTTAGACCACTGAAAAGTGATAAATCGTTTTTGAATGACCCAACATTTGGATTGATGCTACCCGTTTCACCATTATTCCCACAACAAAATCTATTGCCGTAAGTGATTTCGATGTTCTTATTTTTTAAGTAAATTTGATTATAGAAACGAACCAGTCATGACGAATGTACCCACTGAGCAATGGAATGCCTCGAACAATACCGCGAACCTAGCAAATCTACAATGACAATTACAGAACATCCGGGAAACGATTAATACATTCTTTACCGGAAATCGGAATCGCAATTCGTAGTTTCAAATAAGCTCAAATTATAGATCCACAGTGAAAGTAAATATTCTACAATTTTTTCAAAATATCATATATACATCTAGTCTCTGTATAGCCTAATTTCGGGTACAATGTGATTTTGAATGATTAGATTCGTCAATTTCTCGTTTCAGATAATATTTCATATTGTTCAACAACATCAACTTTTGTGCCATAGCAACTTTGTGAAAATTACGTTGAATTTTAGATTTTGTAGATGATGAAATTTTCAACCTTATTTCAGAAATCAAATTACAACAATGTGTAGAAAACAATATTATGAATAGGATGTTCGAAATAGCTTATACTCATCGATAACACATTAGCCATGGTTATCTTAAAACACGAATTTGCTAAATAATACAAAATTATTTTTATTACATTTTTTCATATTGATTATGCAAACTAAATCAATTTGCTATCCAAAAATTTGATTTCTTTTTCTCTCCTTGGCGTTCATTCAAACTTGAAAATATTTCAAGGTCGACACACTCTTTGATTCAATTGTTCTATTGAAAAATTTTATATGTGATTTGAAGTGATCCATTTGTATAGACAAAATTTTGTTATTACGAACGGCATATAATATTGCGAAGTACTCTTGCGGGTTCGTTGCTCTAACACACATTCACCCTCCTATCTCAATAATTCAGTATTGTATGTATGTATTGCTACTGCTTGAGTGAATAAAACAATTTTTCAAAGCGAATTAAAGAAAAGCGAGAACATATATTTAAAGAACACTATATAACTAAAGAATATAAACTAAATAATGTTTTCTTTGTTATATCTGGAAAAACATAATGGGAACGCTTTGTTGACATTAGTTAACACTAATTGTAAGTAATACTTGAGTTTAAGATAATTCGCATCCAAAAGTCATCTTGAACTGTTGAGTTTTTCGCCATTCCTTTTACTTCAACTGGTTGAAATAAGATTAATAAACGTTTTCAATGGGATGGAAATGTATACGATTATTTATACAAGCCGACCATTTATTTGCTGAGTCTGAACAAATTCGAACATCTACTCGAACAGCACACAACAAAAATATCGTATAGTTTGATTTCAGAGGGACTTTCGATTCGAAATGTTTCACGTTAGAAATTCGTCTTATAATCCCTTCAACCCATTTGGCCAGTACCACTATGTCAAATCGTGAATCTTTGCTTGACGTCAAGTGTAAACGCGACATTTCTCATTTTTTCTAGAGAGTCCAGAAATAGAATTCTCTGTTCAATTCAGTTCACCATTTTTGATTGACACCAATCCTGAATATTTTATGCAAAAAAAACACGTCCGTCGTGATATTGTCATTTAAGCCTCTTTTTTTATGGCTAACTTGAAGAGTGTCGTCGGGCGGATTTTCGGATTGAATGACGTGCTCGATTCTGGTGAAAAACGACATATGTGGAAAACCAACCTTATTGATGTTTTGGTATTTATCAAGTTGACGATTCAAAAACGCACTCAATTTAAATGAGTGCCATATGAGTAGATGAGGTCTGTCAACTTTCAAAATGTCGAATTCTGCTGGAGCTGAGAAATCAAATTTCAAAACACATAACGACACATTTGAGAATGTGGAAAATTGTATACGGAAAGAAACCAGAAAAAAAATTTTGAAACCAATTGGGAATTATCATTCTGAAACTTTTCTTTTAACCATTCACCTTGATTCTCATTCCGATTTTTTTAAAGTTGATAGTTCACTATGTAATTTAATTAGAAGTCATGAATGTCAACAACCACTTCTATACACATTTGACGTCGGACCAAAAAACTGATCTGAAATTGTTTTTCATTAATTCTCAATTGCTCACGCAGACCAGAATTTACAATTATCCCCCCGTCTTCGAAATTTCATATCGCGATGAAAAATAGAAGATCTCGAAAAATAAAAATGAGAACTACTTGGTTTTTAGTTTAATTAGAATTCAAAATTTATATTATTAGCTTTTCTATGAATATTTGCGTTCTTATTTTAAAAACGAAGCGCATCTGCGATATATGCAAATAGAGCAGTCATCTGCAAACTATCAAACTACCATCGGGTTTGTTTATAAAATAACAATTTTCGGAAACTTTTACGGCACTTTATGCTTTATTTCGGTTCATTAAGCTTGTGAACACATATAGAAATATGTATACACAATACCAGGAAATTGTGGAAATTTTTCTCTTTCACTTCACAGTAGATTGATGGTTGGTCAGTGAACTATGAATTTGCAACAAAAATATTAGCAAGTTTCATTTTTTTTGGCTCACACAATAAGATTAAAACATGTGACCGAAATTTATAGTTGGATAATGTTTGGACGCAAATTTTAAACAAACATGCTTTCGAGCCCTACAAAAATTTTCCGATTACAAAAGTTGAATAACGTCAAAAAGTAATATTGTCAAGAAAATTAAAGTCATACCGTGAATCTGAAATTATCGTTTATTAGCAAATAATTACTGAAAACTAAAAATTGAGAAAAACAAAGAAAAATCAAGCGTCACATCACGCAGCATGATGTAAGAGTTCTTTACGAAGGTATCAATCAAAGTGGACTAGTGAGCACAGCAATTTCTAAGCCATCAGAATTTTTAGCAACTCTGTTATGTCAGGTTTTTAAAGCTAGGAGGAATCCTCTTTCTGTTCATTCACTAGACAGAAATTGTTCTTGTGTCTCATGTAAAGTGGACTTCAAAATTAAAATGAAAATGCAGCAATGTGATTGCAATCCGAACGTGATCATTTAGCCCAAGAAATTATCAAATTTAAAGCGGTTTCACATTTCTCACAGACTTCCTTTGATGACGTCGCTGTCAGAGGTCGTCAATTTTCAAAATATGTAGTTTCTGGCAAAATAAATGCATGGCGGTTGAATGTAGTTTGTGCTCGATTTATGGCTTCATGCAGAATTTCCTTCTTTACCGGACGAACCATTAAAATTTGCGCGTCGGAGTTATTATTGACTTGGTTTGTTTTACTGAAAAACTAAATCATTGACAGAGTCTGAGGCTGAAGCCAAACCAGAATATTCTTTAAAAAAAAAGTAATCAATCTGTTTCGATTTGTCCTGTTCTCAAAAAATTAAATGAAATCATTGCTCTTTTCATTCATCATTTGTCAGTTTTTTTTGCGATGACTAATAATGGGTGAAAGTCTGCAATTTTTTAATGCAGGTGAAAAATTTCAGATGTTCACTAAAAAAACTTCCTCAATTTCTTTTCAAACCACTAGGACCAAAAAATCGTAAAATGAAAATCACTATATAATTTTCAAAACGCAGGTTTCCGTATATATCAATCGTTTAGATAAAGATTGAGATACCAAAAATCACTTTTAAGTAAAGGAGCACCAAAACGACTAGAATGTATTCTGTCACATGGTCGGTTATTTATTGCTTCCATGTGCACAGTATGAGCATGTTATAGCTTTAGCAGGAATCTCTAGGAAATTGGACATCACGCTCCATTTGAAATTTCCTTCGTTTTTTTTTTTTGCTTTGGCCACGTTCGAATTTTTCCTTCTGCCTATTTACTTGATGGCTGGTTCAAATCTACTTTTGCATTGGCGGCGGCGGCGGTGGTGGTGGTGGTGTAGTAGTGATGTCAGCAAATTGCTCCCAAATGCATATTTTATGCGGCGCCTACGGTAGCCAGCCATTTCAGTCGCCCACCCGCGTCCAGGATAAAGATGGATGGCTAGTCGTAGACTCGTCACGCCCACTCAACTAGCACCACAAAAAAATTAGAGCAAACGCGCGAAAAAAAATCAAAAGAGGTGGGAATAATTTCTTTTCTTGTCTCGATGCCGGATTTGCAGTACACTCCTCCGACCACGCCCATTTTTCATGAACATCCACTATAAAATAACCTCACACCCGCTTTATCATCGATGAAGACCATGAGAGTCTCTCGTCCAGTTCTTTTTTTTCTCCTTCAACTTCATTTATCTCATAACTCCAAATATTACCCAACAACTCATTTTTAAGGAAATACATTCCGGTCTAACTGCTCTCAGATATGAACCGTTTCTTCGTCGTTCTTCTTGTTCTTGCGGTTATCCAGCTCGCTGCCGTTGCCTACGCGCGACCATCGCATGCGATGACTCGTATTCAGGTAATATAATGGATAAGCTGCACGAATGACCCTATCAATTATTGTAGGAAATGCTGTAAGTTGGTGTTTTGTGGATAAATTTATCATCATTGTTCATTGCATGCCAAGTACTCACATCACGTTTTTAATTCTTAATTTTCCAACATTTAAACATTTGCATGGTGCTCTATCAAAACCTGTCACTATTTTGAATTCATTGTTTTTAATTTCATTCTTTGTCGTTCAATGGGCTGCGAGTTGTGGTGTGAAATTTGGACGAAAAACGAGCATGTAGGTTTTTCGAGCTCCCAAGTGTCTCAAACGTTTCAGTTTTTACATACGGCAGCAATCAAAAAATGTGAAGAGTTTCAATGGCGCGCGGATGCGAAAAACATCAGCTAGTACGCAACGACTATGGGGATTATGAAAATTTCAATCCTTACGTCATGTTTTAGCAAATAAAAAAAAGATGCAGCTGAACATTGAACTGTCTCATATTCTCACAGTAATCTTGCAGGAGGTGTTCCGTTCATTGGTGCCACCAGGGGAGCCGCGCGGCAAAAAGTACTACGAAGAACCCGTCTGGGTAAATGAAGAGACCCAATGGTAGCCGTTGAGCGACCGTTACGCCATGAGGGCACGTTAAACCCGTATAATTACTCCCTCCCCAAACATTTTTTACCCTTTGTCTTATTATTTGGGCGACCACCGAATTCAAAGTAATGGTTTCGAACATTCATTTTTGTTCGCTCAAACAATAATATATATGGGAGAATAAATGTCAAACATTGTTACAAATTATGTTGTTCATATCAAAAATAAAACAG